TCTTATACTAGTGACGAGGGAAGCTCGCCTAAACGTCACAAGAAATTCGATGATGCAAGTATCCTCTGTGCGCCTTGAAATGTTTTTCTCATGCTTTTTATCTCTCTTGTCTTAAAACTCTGATGAGAACAGCTGCTTTTTATCTTTCTTGTCTCAAACTCTGTTTTGTGCTGTGATGTGATCGAAAGATTTGCATTTGGATTGCTACTATTTCCCTTGTGTAATTGTTTATGCGTTCTGTTGTTGGACATGAACAAGTGGTAATTTGTTGGTTATCTTTCTCAAGAGGCTTTGGGTTTTGTGTATGAGACAAACATTTATAGTTTGTGTATTGCTAAAACTTTCGTCTCTGTAATATTAATGGTGATTCATGTATTCTAAGATAAGATTTACTGAAGACTATACAATTTTAGGGGAAAGATAGCAATTTTTCTGTTATTGAGCTTTTAGACCTTGTTACTTGATTGTCAAGTGATGGTTCTGTCATGTGTTAAAGCGACGGTGCCAGGGGTTTTGTTGGTCTGAAAGAATAATCATTTGGCTCCCGTAGGTTTTGTTTCAGGCAGAGAATAGGGATGATGATTCTGCATATTTGGATAGGAATTCTATTGCCCTAAATCTTGCTGAAGATAATGAATGGGGATTTGTCTAATTCAGATGTAGATAAGATGGTCCCCGTCACAGAGTCAAATGTAGATACCATGATTGATGATTCAGATAATCCAGCAAGCAATTTTAGAAGTAATAGTTTGCAAACGTTCAATTGAGGATAGAGTTGCTAAGGTATGTTGTATCCTCTTCCAATTTTATGTGACTTACGATGTATTTGCGTATGGGTGAGAATATATAGGTATAAAATATAATCCTTTACCGTGCTCGGACTGTCTTTTCTGAAATGAATAAAAACTATCTCCGACTGACAAATATTCTTGCCATATCTTTCCTCTTTCTAACCAAAATGTTGACTTTTACCAACAGGTTGATTACTCTTCGGAACGTCATTGTGAATGGTGTGGTCACATTGCTGACTTGATAAATTGTAGCTCATGCGAAAGACTTTTCTGTGCATCATGTATAAGGAGGAATATTGGTGAAGAATCTTTGTCTGAAGCTCAATCCTCTGTTTGGGATTGTTGTTGCTGCTGTTCAATTCCCTTGCAAAGACTGACACTGGAACTGGAGAAAGTCATGGGAGGTAAGAAGTCAACTGAATCCAGC